AGGGTTATAAATAAGGTAACGATACATATACCCCCCCAATTAGTGTACTTATAAGTGTACCTATTAAGTCCCATGAACCTCCAAGTATCAACGTGGAGAAACCCACAGATTCTTCTAGCTGCCCTGTTGCCAATCCCTCGGTCCTACAGAGCTGTGAAAGCTTTAGGGGATTCAAGAGCTAAGCGTAGCAAAGCGAAGTATGCCGGCAGACAAACCCCCTAAACCCCATACCAACCCCTAAGCCCTAAACCCCATGCCAAACCCTAAGCCCTAAACCCCATACCAACCCCTAAGCCCTGAACCCGGTACCAAACCCAAACCTTTTTCAGAACCCTGCGACCCCTGGAGCCCAAATCTGTGAGACCCGAAGCTCAGGCATGCGAGACATCAACCAGCCGTTCAGGTGTCTTGGCGGAAGCATCCGAAGCCCCAACCCAGACCCCCGGGAGGATCCAAAAAGTAGATCCCTTAATGGGGGTTCCTATAAAGACCCTTTAGTAGTATAGGGTCCCAAATTAGGGGTTCTACTTTATAGATCCTTCCGGGGTCTGGGAAATGAGGTTCTGGAGGGGTGTAGGGCTCAGGGTTGTCCTGTCCTGGGGATTTAGGGGTTTAGAAGTAGAAGAAGGTTTTTCGGTTGTTGGGCTCTGGTTTCTGTTTGAGGGTTTACGGTTTCTGGTGAAGGAAGCACAGGTGTTATGGAGTAGGGGGTTGAAGCCTTAAGCCCTAAACCCTCAACACTAACCCCTAACCCCTAAACCCTAAACCCTCAACCCTAAACCCTCAACCCGAACCCTTCGTAGCCAAGCAGTGCTGGAATCTAGAAGCCCCGGACAACGGAGATCCTCCCACCATCTTACCAGATCTTCCAACATCCCTTAAGTTCAGGGAGCATACCCTTAAAGAATAGCAGGGATCCTTGTGTGATTTAGTGTTTATTCCTTACTTTATAGGGACATTGGAAGATCCAGGTTCTCAAAGCCTAAACCATATCAGTCTCGGGTGACTTCATAACCCCAAGTAAGGTACCTATAACTGTACTGACTGAGTCCCACGAACCTCCAAGTAGAGCCTAAACCCTAAACCCAAAACCCTTCACCCTAAACCCTAAACCCTCAACCCTCAACCCTCAACCCTAAACCCTAAACCCGATACCCTAGAGCCTAGCCCCGAACCCTGCGCAAGGTACCACCTTCCGCAGATGCCCCTCTTCTTCTCCTTAGCATCCGCTTCCCTTGGCCTCTTCATGGTGCGAAGGGGAAGGGGGGGCTTAAGGCTTAGGGTCGAGGGTTACGGGCTTAGGTTAAGGGTTTAGGGTTCAGGTTCAGGGTTTAAGGCTTAGGGTTGGCTTGTTGGGCTTTCGGTTCAAAGATTGGGGCTCCCGCTCATGGATCAGTACAGTTATAAGTACCTTAATTGGGGTTATAAGTAACTATATGTATAGTTGCCTTTACGCCTAGATACTAAGTCCCATGAACCTTTAAGTACGGCTTGGGGTTCAGGTGTTAGGGTTTAGGGATAGGACCGGGTTTTGCACGAAGAGAGCGCGGCAATTTGAAGCTGAAGGGTTGGAGCGTATGAGTGCCAGAAGTAGGGAACGCAGCTCCTGAGACTTACTGTATACATCTTCTCGACTTACCCTAAATCCTAAACCCTGAAGAGCTTGCTGAGAGCAGAGACATCTTGACGCTACGGTGCTGCGCCGGTGTTGGATGGGTAGCCAGGTCGTGAAACTTAGGGTTTATAGGGTTTAGCGTTGATCCTTGGGGCCAATTCGAACTTTTTTGGTTGTCAATATGATCTAGGATGAAGAGTTAAGATGGACTATGATAGTGAATAACGAGCAACCAGTAAATACTAGTCGTAATAATGATAAGACGAGTAACATAATATAAGCAACAAGACTATTTGTATCGATGGATGTTTTGAGGAGGTTCCTTGAGACACGGTTGATAATATAAATCCTGCACTACCCATAATAAGGACTATACCACAATTCCAATAGTTTAGGGTCCTTGAGGCGATGCAGGATTTATGTCATCAGCAGAATGAATCTCATGCTTAGCTTCTCCCCTTTGAAACGTGACTCCATCAGTTTTCAGCGGCAGAAGAGAACCAGTGTGTCCAGGGGTTGAAGCTCTAAACGCTATCTCCATGGCCCCAAACCCTAAACCCTAAACCCTAAGTGGATGTATTGGTTCGTGGCCTTGGGATGTGCTCGAAGCAGGCTCCTTCGAAACTCTGCCCCCCAAGTCCAAGAGACAAGGCCCTGGAGCCTAATGTAGGGGCCTTAATAATTACCTATACTACTTTGGGGCCCCAAACCCTATTCAAAACTCTAAACCCTAAACCCTAAACTGGAAAACCCTAAACCCTAAGTCCTAAACCCTAAACCATAAACCCTAAGCCCAATGCGAGAGGCTCTGGAGACCTGCCCCTTCAAATGCAGATAGCAGGTTCCTAAGTTCCAGCCCTTCAGCTCCCAAATTAGGGTTTACGGTTTAGGGTGCCGACCCGTCACTCGAACCTCATGCACGCAAGCACCACATGTAGCCGTATGGAACCCTTGCAAACGCCCAAAGGCCCTGTTAAGAGCTTTTTTGAGCTTATGGGGACCGTGTAACAAGTCTACCACCCCGGAACACAATCTGTCGGATCCGAAATTCAAGCCCCTGAAGGTGTGCCTGTTCACGACCCTGATGTCAGGGCCCGAGATCGGGTTCAATAGACAAGGCTTTCTGGAGTGGAGTACACAGCGCTGACAGTGGTAATGCGAGCTGGCCGAAGCCATACATCAGTTTGTTCTGTCCGACGAATGATCGTAAAACGACGGTGCTTGTGGGTGGCGGCTTTGATAGCTTCAACATGCATGTTTATATATGCATATGTCTTATATATGTCTACAAACCATAATGTTACACATACAGCTCAATAGATAATATACAGTGTATATATGCATAAAATTGCATCCCTAAACCCTAAACCCTAAACCCTAAACCCTAAACCCTAAACCCTAAACCCTAAAATGTATCCAAGCCCCAGGCTGTTGGAAGTGCAGGGCTCCCGGAGATGCGTGGACATCAGCTGGCTCGTCAGTAAGGCAGCGGAGGGGCTTTCAGGGTTTTGGGGCTTCTGCCTGGCCTAGGGTTTAGGATTGAGGGTTTAGGTTGACAGGTTTAGGGTTTTAGAGCTCTTATTTGAGGATGTTACGGGGCTTCTGAAAGGCGTCGGCAACAAGGGTTTAAGGAGTTTGAGGTGTTTCGAAGCTAGTCGGGTCTAGGATTGACGGTTGTGAGGGTTTATGGGTTCAGAGGTTTCACCGGCTTTGCACAGGGTTTTCTTGGGTTCGATAAGGTTTGTATGTGTGCTTATAGCGGTTTAGAGTGCGGGGGTGTAGGGTTTGTACCTTAGTTTCTTAATATATATTTTTGTCGGTTTGTCCTAGCAAAACTTTACATGACTTTGTACTGAGCTTAAACGATCCACCAAACCCTAAACCCTAGGCCCTTGTTTAGGGTTTAGGGTTTGGGGAACCCTAAACTCTGAGCCCCTGTGCCTTAAACTCTGAAGTAGAAATGCCTGGGCTCCTGGATTTCTAGTTTGTCTGGGAGGTTTCGGCTTTGGGTTGGGGGGCTTTAGGCTTGGGGAATCAGGGCTGTGCAGGGTTTCAGGTGTAGGTTTTCAGGTGTGCGGTTTGGGGAATTAGATTTTAGGGTTTATGGTTCAGGGAATTAGAGTGAAGGTACCCTAAACCCCAAACCCTAAACCCTAAAATCCTAAACCCTAAACCCTAAAGCCTAAACCCTAAAATCCTAAAGCCTAAACCCTAAACCGTTCAAGAATGAGGAGGTTGTAGGTCCGGGTTGTGGAAGAGAGCTTGGGGTTACTTGTCAGCGGGGTAAGCGCAGGCTTACGGCGGCACTTTCAGTAAAGGTTCCTGGGCACGTAGCTGCACAAAGTGGTATAGGCAGAAGAACTCGGAGTCAACCCTGAAACCGATAATTCCTTGACGCTAAACCCTAATGTAGGTGCCTAAATAATTTCCTAAACTCTTTTGGGGAGTCCTTAACATATCTATAGTATGATACACCCCCAAAACCCTATTCTAATTGTTAAGGCTCCTACATTATAGCTACGGCAACCGCACCCCTGGTTCGCTTTGTATCCTAAACCCTAAACCCTAAACCCTAAACCCTAAACCCTAAACCCTAAACCCTAAACCCTAAACCCTAAACCCTAAACCTTGCCCCATGAAGCTTCAAGAAGATTCTAAGCCCCTCTAAACACGTTTCCACCTGCTTTTCGATGGTTTTAGGGTTTTGAACTGAGTGCTTTATGCCCCTTCTTGTTGATGGTTTTAGGGCTTTGAAGTGAGTGCTCCATCCCAAATCCGATAGCTCAACAACTTTGACGCAGATTTTGAAGTTTCAGGTTCAAGGTTCAGGGCGCAGTGATTGCAGGATTCCGACCCTCCCAGCCGACTCGGCACCGCACCAAAACCTGCAATGCTTCGAAATGGGGGCGTCCGTTCTTCATTCGTGTTTAACGCATTATAAGTTGGACCATCTGGCGCTACCACGGCAACACCGACAACCACTGTTATAACACGTCATGTTGCAGATATCAGGTATGAACCCCGAACGTGAACTTCAACCCCAATGCCTAAACCCCACGCCCAAGTTTGCAGACATGCATGATGCCTGGTTTACCAGGGAGTAACGGTCTACATGAACCGGACGCTTCCATGCATCTGTGCACCTCGGATATGACGCTTGTGGTGTCCGGCTTCGGGCAAAGGACTTTGGGGCTTTGAGGACGGAGGTCAGGACTTCGAGCCTCATGGGTTTAGGGTTTAGGGTTTAGGGTTTAGGGGGGTTTAGGGATCGTTGGGAGTCGGCGTAAGGCTTTTAGGGAGCTGCTCGCACATGACGACAAGGCTCAAAGCAAGCAAGGCGTAGTCTGCACTTACCAGCTGCAGCTCTACTTGCAACCTTTCCTCCATGTCGGAAGCCAGTTTTGAGCAGGTTTCTGATGCCAAAACGGAGGTGCTTGAAGGAGCTGCGACAACGGAGGAGCTCAGCGATGTGGTTTTGGACTTTGGCGTGGACTCCATGCCCGCCAACTCTGTTTTGCTTCGAATGGCTTCTCCTGTGTTCAACCGCATGTTCCAGAGCGGTATGAAGGAAGCCCAGCAAAGCATCATCAAGGTGGATGTGGCCGGCAAGGAAGAGTTCACGATCTTCTACAACTTGCTAGGGCCAGTGGCATGGAACGCCCGTAAAGTAACCAAGGAAAACGTTGACACGCTGCTTGCAATCAGCGACTACTACCAGGTGGAGACCATCAAACAAACCTGCGAGGATTTGCTGCTTGATCTTCCGCCTACTGGCACTCGCCTTCTGCAAGCACACCAACACTGCTTAAAAAGACAGTACCAAAGATGCATCCATGAGTTGGCCAAGAAGAGTGCGAAGGAGGACTTGGAGGTAATCTGGTCGCAGCCGGATGTATTTTTTGAGTTGACGCTCAAAAAGCAAGACATTTTGAACCGCGTCATGGCGACGGAGGCCGACATTCGCAAGTGCATGGTCTCTTTCGAGAAGTATCTGGGAACCATGGCTGCTTCTCGGTTCACCGAAGGGGCGAAATTCTCGCAGTCCCACGCCGATCAACTGTCTGAACTTACGAGGGCCCGAGAGCCTGTGAAACGGTTGCTCGAAAGGCTGCTCAAGGAATTGCAGTAATCGTCGCTATCATCGCCGGATCTCCAAAGCCCGGCGGCTGAAAGCAGTTCACGGCTGTTTGGGGCACTGGCACGCCAGGCCCTTCTGGGCCTCTTTGGGTTGCAGAGTACCTGTATGGTTCTCCTATGTAGGTGCATGCAAAGTGATTTGATTCGCAGACTGGCGTATAAAGATACTTGCGCTAGCTATTGCCTAAATAAGACTAGTGCAGATCACACTCGAACACGTATTGAGGCCATTGCCGTGGTTTTCGTTGTGCCAGGATGTGTCAGAAGTGCGCATCCTGGACGTAGGATATCAGCAGTTTTGGGCAGCAGCATGAAGAAAGTGCGAAACTCGCGCAAGCCTCTTCCAGCTAGCATGGCCGTGATCCTATCAACATATGTGATGGCAGCGGCTGAATGTTCTTATCCTACGCTGTGGTAGTAATCTGTGACTTTCACATGTAAATGAGGGGCCATTCAGTTGCAACTTTGTCTCTTTTGGGCTTGACTTTGGTGGTGACCAGGGTTGTAATAAACATGATGAACAAAGCCAATGATGACATTTGCAGGAGTTAACTTATTCCCGCCTGTGCTTCAGATTCAGCGGCTTGGTGGGGTGGCGGGATCAGGACTTCCTTTCCTCAAGAGTTCGAGGTTAAAGGTTTCCAATTGGTTAGTGTGCTGCAGATATCTTTAAACCAAAAGCCCAAAGGCCCTAAAGCGTCTTAACCCCCTTATCGCCACTCCATGGATCCACACGAGAAGTACGGTTCTCAAACTTCCAATCCGAAGTCCGAAGACACGCATCCTCTCCCTGCAGCACCCAAGCCCTGGACCCTAAAACCTTATGACCCCAACCCCAAACCCCGAACCTAAACCCGAAGCTCCAAGCCCTATAATGTCGGGGCCTCAATCATTACCAATAGTATTGTAGGGGTTCCTTCTTATACTTATAGTATAATGGGCCCCAACACCCTGTTCTAATTATTCAGGCCCCTACATTAAACCCTAAAGCTGACCCTGTCGGTGAAAGTGACCCATGCTAAAGGTTAGTAACTGGGGTTACAAGTGAGGCAGCTATACTTATGCTTACTTATAACCCCAATTCAGGTACCTATGACTGTACTTATTAAGTCCCTGAATCTCCAAAACCTAAACCCTAAATCCTAAACACCTAAACCTAAACCCTAAACCCTAAACCTCTAAACCCTTAAACCCCTAAACCCCAAACCCCTGAAGCCCCTTGAGGAACCTTTTAGAGAATCCTTCAAGGACCCTTTCTAGGGGCCCTGAGGTGTTTCTCTTCATGGCCGGCTGGTATGTCCCCAGGCTGCATCGCCGACTTCGGTCTCAGGGTGTGGGACGTAGGGTTCCAAGGAGACCCCAAAGCGCATCAGTAATGACTACTGTTGAGGATATAAATCCTGCATTACCTTAAGGACCCTAAACTATGGGACTTATGGTATATTCCTTATTATGGGTAATGCTGGCTTTATATCATCAACCGTATTACCTAGACCGCCGGAAGGATCCAAAAGGTAGATACCTTAAGGGGGTTCCTACAGTACCCTGTAGTAGTGAGGATCCCAAATTTGGGATCCGGATCCTTCCGGCGGTCTGGGCAGGGGTAGGTCTTCATAAGATTGTGCCAAGCATGATTGGCAGGTTTCAAACGCATTCGTGAATTCAGGGCGTCTGTTTTTTGGTACTGTGAAGTTTGGGTCCAAGGTTGAAGCCGACGCCGAGGCCCGAATCACAGGGTTAGGCTTTGGGGCAGTTTAGGGTACAGGGATTTTTTGGGTTTAGGGTTTAGGGGTTTAGGGTTTAGGGAAAACCCTAAACCCTAAACCCTAAAGCAAGCTCCTAGGTTTACGTTGCGTCCGGCTTCGGCACATTACTTTGCTTCATCGCTGGCGCCTCGCTGTGCCTTGGCTTATTTGTTTAAGCCTTACATGGCATAGGGATATGGTTCTATATTGCGGTCCGCCACTAGGTGAACCTCCCCACACACATATGTATATATATATATATCTGTATGTACCTATATTTATATATATATATATATCTATCTGTTTAGATAGACATGTATTTGTTTTGGAAGCACACTGCAAAAACTGGTGTTTACAGATTTGCATGTGGTTGTACTCAGTGCTGAGTACATCGTGCTGATGGGTCAGAATCTTACGCTGCTATCGGCGTTCGAGGGATTTGTGGTTTAGTGCTGCAGGGTTCCAGGGTATGGGGCTCAGGCCTGACGGTTTGGCGGTTTGACGTCGAAGCTATGGTTCCCAACACCTCCTGAACCCTTGAGCCAGTTGAGGAGCAATGCTAAGCCCTAAACCCCAAACCCATCAAGATGGCTTTCTTGGGGCTGCACCATGTTGACTCTTAGAAACAAGACAGAACCCCCCACCAGCTGAATACTTAGGCTTGTTTGGTTGTTTAGTCTAAACAAAAATACCAGAAGCTCTCATCCAGTTACTTGGGATTCGCACATTACGTTGCTGTGGTCGGCCTCATCGTAGCTAGGTGGTTGCGTTGCTACTATCGAACTCAACGACAGCACCGGGAGCAGCGCCAGTTTTGGATTTTGAGGTTTGTCTCTTCAACTAAGCAGCAGCCAGCGGGGTCTATGACGACTGTACGCCGTCAAACCACAAGTTCAAGCCGAGAGTGGAACCCTAAAAAAAGAGCGAGACTATATGGGCAGTTCTCTAGATTAGGGTCCCTTTTAGGGTCCTTTTTGTCAGGGTGCCGTAGTATTTGGGGGGGTCCAAAAAGGGGCCCTACTTTAGAACATTGCCCATATAGGGTCCGCTTTAAGTGCGAAGGCGCAGATCCCAAGCCCCGCCGCCTTCAGGGTTTGGGCTCCAGTGTCACCTGCCTGAAGTTTCTAGGGTTCCTTGTCATGATTTCCTTGTCTGGGTAGCTGTCTAAATTAGGGTCCCTCCTAGGTTCTCAATGGAGCGCGGCACCCTTAAAACAAGGATCCCCAAAAGGGACCAGAATTTAGATAACTACCCACATAAGACCTTGATCAGGTAGGTCTTTGGGGGATTCCCTAGGCCCTACATCCTAATCCGAAGCACAACCAGATTTCCGCTTTGCGAGGAATATGGTCAGCGCCAAGGTGGGCCTTTCGTGGAGAGATCCTGAGTCCGAGTGGTGGCGTGGGAGTCTACTTAAAGGTTCATGGGACGTAGTAATTAGGGTTATAAATAAGGTAACTATACATATAACCCCAATTAGGTACTTATAACTGCACTTATTAAGTCCCATGAACCTCCAAGTATGTCGCATGGATCTTTGGTACTTCTAAACCGTATGTATCACCACTTCATAGCCTAGGCAACCAACTTTGGGGCTCAATTAACGGGCCTCGGAGCACCTGCTTCCGCAGGTCGGCGTGAACACCTGCGTCGCCGCCACGGCGCGCCTGGCCAACGCCCTTTGACCTCGATGCTTAGGGTTTAGGGTTTGGGGCAGGGTTTAGGGTCTAGGGTTTAGGGCAGGGTTTAGGG